ATAAATTTGCAATGATTCATGTTTTTTCTTCAAAAATAAAATTAGAGTTCCTATTGGAGATTTAGAATGGCATATGAAGTTTGTGGCTAGATTTTCTTTAATACATTCTTTGAGTTCGGCCAATTCATTTTGTGGTAAATTATAAATTAATCCAAATGGTGGTTAAGCTCCTTCTTGATGGTCAATTGAATAGTCATAGAAACGATGTTTTAAAAGAGTATCTACATTCTTCTTTTCAAATACATCTTAACAACCTTGATATTGTCTAAAAATTTCATTTGAAGTCTTTCCACCATTAGAAACATGTGTGGCACAAATTGATCTTTCTTTTGCAATATGTAAGAAAGTTTTTGCATCTACAAATATATATTTGATTGTATTAAATTTATGACTTTTAATTTAATTAAATACCTTATTATTTATATTTTAAGAAAAATCAAGATTATAAGAAATCTAATATATTTAAAGATTGTACTTTTTTAATTACAATAAACCTAAAATAATTTAATTAAAATGAGATTTAATGATATCAATTATCATAAAGTTACTATAATCATTAATTACTACTTTTAGAAGAAATATTTCATGAATAATATCTTTAGAAGACAACAAATGACCATCTATGACTTCTACATGAACATGTTTTGTTTTCTTTAATAAAGGTATGTCAGGTCTTGTAACAAATTCTTCATCTAAAAAACAAGCTAAGGCTTATGAATCTAGGAAGGCAAAGATTTTGTGATATTTAAGTCCTAAACTAATATCTATTGTAAAACTAAAAGAGAGTTTTGAAGAGAGAATAAGATCTTTATTAGATGTTGTGTAAGTTTTCAGCCATATGGTTCTTATTATAATTGAACAAACTTATTTTCTAACATATTATCTATTTTGACATTCATACTTTTATTTTATGATTGCATTTTTTTTTGGACAATATTGAGCAATAAACTTTGATTCTGTATAATATAAACACAATCTTTCTTGACAATGATAAGTCTTTTCTTATTTACTAAGAAGTTTGAAACGTACTACATTAATTTGCATATCTTCTATTTCCAAAGATATGTATTAAAAAGACATTAGTGTTGCCATTGAATTATAATAATATTGAGGCTTATTTATATGATTTTGATACCAAAATTTTAAAAATTGATTACCATACTTTACAACAAAATCAATTACTTGATTCAATGTTTAAAGATCAAATAAATTGAGCATCAATTTCTTTATCTTATATTATAATCCATAAAAAAATTGATTAATGAATGCAACATCATCCTACTTGATATCAATTATAAGTTGATTAAATTGTGAAGTATATAATATTATAGATTAATTTTTTTAGTGTAAAATATGAATCTTATTTGTTGCAATACAAATTACAACATGTTTTTTATACATAGATCAAAACTTTCCCAAGAAAGCTTTTAAATTTTTAATATTGAATCATATCATTCAAAAAAAGAAGAAAACCATGATAATACAAAATCAAAAAATAATGTTTTAATAAACCTGATTTATGATCCTAGAATTGGATAGCTTTAGAGTTGAAGTTCAATTTTTAGTTGTATTTGATTAATGAATCCTCAAAACTTTGATCTTGTACCATCAAACTTCTCAAATAAGGCAATTCTTAGTTCTCTAGTGCTTGAATAGTGTTCCATTATGGAAGAAGGAACATGATTTGGTATAGATGTTGAAGCAGCTCCAATAATCTCTATACCTCTACTTTTTGTCATTCTTATTCTTTTTTGTGGTGGTAAATTGAGTTGATACATTGCAAGCATTAACTCTCTCAATTGTTTTTGCATTTTTGCCATTTTGTTCTTCATTTTGATAAGCCTTATCATAATAATACTTAGAAGAAAATAAATGTTTAATATTATTGAAGATAAATAAAGAGAAGAACTTGAGAACAAAAAAAATAATATTACTTTAGAAGAAGATAATCCACAACTTCTAGTATGTTTATGTCTTATCAAGAGAAATGAATAATTCACTTTTAATCAACAAAAGACACAACTCTGATATTATAAGTCACTCTTGTCAATTTATTAAGGACAAGAATTTAATAAAAACAAATAAATAAGTGAGAATTTTTCAAAGAAATATAACAAAATAGAAATAAAGAAGTATGTATATTAAAAATAAATCAAAGTGATTATTGCCAATAGACAAGAAATCTAGAGACTTTTTGAAATTATACTAAAAGAAAGAAAGAAATTAACAAGAATAAAGAAGGCCTCAGTCTTACCTCTATATATACTACCTATTTAGGAGCTATGCGATGACTTTCTATAGGACCTTTAAAATATGTTGATTTTGCACAAGACATATCTTAATTTACAAGATAAGTTTTCTATATGGACGCTACATAATTAACTTATTCCATAAGCTAGCAACATGTATGGCACTTGGTTAAGTTGTTGACCAAGTTTCTAACCTATCAATCAGCTATAAATACATGTAAAGTCAATGTAATACTTATAAAGCTTCTGAGAAGCTTTCTTAAAAGTTATTTTGAAATTAATTTACTTTTATCTACTTCTACATATTCATATTACCTAAATAACAATTAAAATAAATATATCGTCATGACATAATATGATCAAAGTTTTTTTGACTAATCATGTAACCAATGAGAATAATTTCTAGTTCTTTAATATTATTAATTCATGCATAATTTTATCAAGTTATATAAGACTAATTAAGAAACACTAGAAAGTGATTGATCTTTGAACTCAGTTGTCAAATATGTAACTTGCTTAGATCTCGTTTTTTTCTTTCCTTCTCCAAAGAAAAAAGTAAAAAGAAAAAAAAAAAAAGAAAAAAAAAAAAACCTCTAATACACAATCTATATCAAAGTTGTTTATCCACCCATAAATAGATTCTTTTGGCATCAACAACAACATCACAAACTCATCACTCACTTATTCATGGTCTCTTTTTTAATCTTTGGAGTCTTCTATTGTCATTACCATCAATGAGTTCACATATAAGATGCCTTGATTTTTGAGCGTACACTCTCATTCTCCACTCCATATTGATCTTATTATTAATACTCCTAATTTCTAACAAAATATCTTTTTTTTAGACATTATTTTATTCTACTAACATGATTTCTCTAATTTCTCTCAAACTCTTTTCAAATGGACTTACAAAGTTCCTTACATCTAGATTGCTATCAAATAGAATTAAGGCACTATTTGCCCACACAAATGATTCAAAGTTCATGTTGAAAAAAATACTATATCGTAGATCACCCAATTTAAAGTTACTCTATTGCACCTATATACACTCCAAAATATGTACTTCCAAAATACAATAACATTAGAAGCATCTCACTTCCAAAATATTTGATGAGGTTGGCATCTAAGAGATGACCAAAGCACATTATCCATGCATGTATATAGGAATAAATTATAGCAATAGTCTATTAAATAAATAATATCTTTTTAGGTGAGTGTGTATCATGAGCTCAAAGACCACAATGTTTTACTTATGACCAAGTCCAAAGCCTCTTCAACTTTGATTAACCTATTGAATTTTTATCAAATTGATGGATAAATATTTACAAGGCATTGTGCTCACTTTACATGTAAAAGTTTCATAAACATGTAACTCAAACATAGTTTCCATTCCAAACCTATACAAAATTTAAGATAAATGGCAATAAATTTAAACAAATGGTCCTAATGTTAGCTATGAGTAAAAAAATTAAGTAAAAAAAATATCATGTCTTTTAGCTTTCTCAAAAGTATTGTCTATCCATGAGTTAGAAAAAAATGCTAGAACTCAACTATGAAACTTTCTTCACATCGTTCTATGATGCATTCATCAACAATGATAAAGAAAATAATGTCTCTTATATATCAAGCGCAATGCTTTCATTCCTTTGGCAAAGAGTAAATTTTGACTTCTAAGTGAATTTAATTCTCCTCAATACTTCATTTCTTCATACATAGCTTTCTACAACTATGCTTAAGTCCCTACAATCATTCCATTGCAATGATATAAGGTGCAAAGTGAGAAATAAAATAAATATGCATCTATTTTGTTGCACCACCAATTTGTACACTAGGTCGTGCTTTACAATCAAAGATTGGAATTAGGACACCTTGCAAAATCCAATATCCATTGCTCTTGTTTCCTCATGCTTCTCTCACAACTCGCACCTTCCGCCTAAGGAAGAAGTTGCAATTTTGCCTTCCTCTCCGTTGATGACCAAACTTCACCTTCAATAAGCAAGTCCCCTCTAGAGCAAAAAAAAAAAAATGATATAGGAGCAAGTAGATTCTTACCTGCAATATATTATTGATGGAGAATCGTGGTTTTATTAATGGGCTATAAACTCCACACAATGTTATGTTTTTTGATGAAAACTAAGAGGGGTGCATAAGATAAATGAGACCCACTACTTGTCTTCTTGAACAATCTTAATATATAGATGTTGTGTATGGTACAAAGAAGTGTCTATGTAATAAAAATGAGATATTTATCTAGTGATTTCTAATAAAAATTATAATTTGATATGTTGTAAAGAGATATAATGTATATAACTAGTAAGATCTTAATTACAAATGATTAAGGTAATGATTATTATATAATTTTTTTATAAAAGCTCATGTTTATAAGTTATTTTTAAATAAGAAATTAATACTTTCAATTATATATATGTATATACATATATTACAAAGTATTAATAATGGAAGTTATATAAATAAATATATTATACTATGGATTTTAAATATTTATTTAAAGCTTATAATTCTTTTCTTTTCTTTTCTTTTTAATTTTATTTTTCTAAGTATAACATAGTAATATTTAAGTACTAAAAACTATTATTTTTAAATATAATAAAGAATTTATTATAATTTTCTTGATCAAAATTTTAGTTACAAATAGACACATCTTTTATATATATAAACATACATACACAACTACTTAACACCTCATATAAAAAAATCCATCTTGAACAAATGAAACTTCCACAACCTGGGGCCTTTTAAACATGATTTATTTCTATCCTCGAGCAATCCAACCAATGGATAATAAGAAGAAGAACAAGCATTGTGGTAGAGTAATGGCATGAACTGTCTAATGAATGTTCCATGTGTTTCAATATCAAATGAAACCAGACATTGTAAATTGATATGAACGAGGATAATGATCTACTCAGTGAGCAAACATGAAGCTGACAAATGAGTCACAGTTTCAACAGAAAGAAAGCATCTGCCGATCGGAGCATTTCGTCCTGATCTATGATCACCCATTCATACTCAATAATCTCATTCCGGAGCTATTCACAGTCAACAATCTCATACCCGAGCTATTTTTAAGTTTTCCGGGATGTCCTCAGCATTTGCATAGAATATTCTCATGCAGTCCTGATACGCACCTCTGATATGTGTCGGTGTGATGCCGATATCACGAAGAAGATCAAGTCGTATGGGTATTGAAGGAGCTAACAACACAGTCTGCTGGAGGACTAGTTCCCTGATACTGCACTCAGGAAGTGGAAGAATGGAGAGGTGAGCAGATAAAACAAGGCCCCCATTAATCGCACTTCCATGCAAACAAAACCAGTGAGAAGCCAATGGAACCTGATGAGTGTTTGTCTTTGAAGCTGTAGGTGCCCGGCCATTGAAGCACAGATGGGCAAGCATCCACCTCCTTGAGCCATGGCTTGTCTGATGACAAGCACGTTTGGAACATGAACACGGCGTGGCCTGCTCGTGGGTTGAACAACCAGCTGTGCACATCCCAGAAAACCTCCACAGGTGCACCATCCACGACAATGGTTTGGTTCCCTCGGAACTTCCACATTAACCGCTTCACTTGCACAACAATCTGTTGGTCCACCCGGACATACATGCGAGGCTCGCTGGAGGGCCGAATCTGACACTCGATGACAATGTCGTGTGCCTTGCCGCCCTCCTCGAATTGTGCCTTGGTGCAGTGATACCTTTTACCGAAGACGTGCTCGCTTCTGGAAACTCGAATGGCCTCAATTGAAGCAGGCTTGGCCTTGGTCTTCTTGTAAGCTTCGTTGTACATGTCGCCGAGCAATAGAACTACCTCCCCGGCCGATACCACCGCCACGAAGAAGCTGTCGCTGGGGACCGGACCGCAAATGTAGTTGGCTGAGGAGAGATCCCAATAGACTTCAACTTTGATATCATCCACTTCGAAACTTTTCAGACCCTGCTTCTTCCAGAACATCCACGGCTTCATGTCGACCTTGCACATGTGCTGGTCGACATCAACATTTACACTAAGGCCTTGACCGATGAGATTCTTGAACCAAGTGATCGAGAGTGGTCTACACTTTCCCGCCAGCTTTGTTTGGTATAAACAAGTAACGAGGTTCTGCGTAACTTTGTTACTCCCCGCTGAAGTATCCAGCACTTGCACTCCATACTCCCCAAAGCAAGAGGGGAATGCGTCGTGCATTGTGACGATCTACTTGCAGCAATTTGATATGCTGCACAAGATGCAACCTGCCGAGCGTTCCGGAGCCTTCCTTGAGGGCTACCTCAGACCTGGTGGCCTAAAAACGTCTCCCCCTCCCCCCCCCCCCCCCCCCCCCCCCAACCTAAGAGATGAAGAGGTCGACCTTGGCTGGCGATAATTGGTGCATGGTATTTGTTGGAAAAGAGGACTTTCTACACATAGACCTCGGGTGTGGGGCCATTGAAGCCTGCAAAACAGTTCCAGGGTTCGATACTACGGAACACTCATGGGTCACAGCATGGGTGTAAAAAAGATGGTGCTTTCGCGTTCACGTATTGTACACGGCCCTACTGAACACACTCAGACGAAGACGTACACCACCCTCTAAAGCTGATACTCGCATCTTATCCGCGTATCATTTACAACATCGACGCACTACCCAGAAGTCGATTCAAGGAAACAACGCCAGAGTTCACTCCGTCCACGAGAAGGGGCTCACTGCGTGTGTGAAGGGGGGAAAAAAGTGTTCACGAAGAATATAACGTGGCTTAAATCGCTAGCTTACAAAAGAACAGTCCTCTGCTTATACCCTAAAAGAATTCAGAGAGAATGTGAGGAACTCGGCAGTAATGTGGCAAAGGTGACGACGGTGTCATCTCCTTCGTCAGCAGCGCAAGAAGTTCCGACACTCCCCACGGAGTGTGATCGAAACAGCTCCACAAATGGGATAGAAACCTTCCACAACAAGCAGCGTCAACCAGAAACACGAAGCCACGCAGAGCCTAAGCGAACCATTAACCCTGTTCTCTGCATGTCAGGCACAAACAGAGCCCAAGTTTGAGAACATGGATTCAAGATACAGCTTCCAAAACGGAAAGAGACTTAAATGAATACACTCTCCATGATGACTAGCTCCAAATCGCTCGCCCCCTGTCAATCACTCCCTCGTCCAACCTGGTCTCCTCTGAGCACAGTACAGGCAATAGTAGACGACAGAAGCAAGACGATAGGCGCAGACGAAGCTAGATCTCCGCACCCTTTGCTTTGCAGGGCGAGTCTGCGGTAGCTGCCACAGAAAGAAACGCAACGCAACACAACGCGATGGCAGGGCTGCGAGGGCAGTGATTGATGATTAAGCTTTCCCAGGCGATGCCAGTCCCCGCAGCGTTGCAGAATGCGGAGAGCAGCAGCAGCCTCAAGAGTCTGTCAGTGCAGCGCCAGCCTCAGCGTCGTTGCTGGGTCAGCTCGGCGTCCGTCTATTCTCGCCATTAGGCGTCGGAGAGTTTGCGTTAGTCAGCGGTCGGTAGTTCACGTCGTCCTGCGTCAGGCAGTTCGCGTTGGACTGCGTCAGACAGATAGGGTTCACTGCACCGATATCCGTAATTCGTGTGTATCAGACTATTAGCGAAGAGCCTCTGGAACATGCGTAGACTGTTTATAGTATGTATCGCATTAATTGGGAATACACGCTAACAGTACGCTATGTTGCAACCCCAGAGCTGAATAACCCGTATCCTATAAATAGTGTGTATCACACTTATTAGGAATACACACTATTTGGGTTCACACACTAATTACGGATATTGGTGTAGCTCGTTTTTTTAACCCCTAAATCCAAGAATTTGAAGACAAACAAGGGAAAAAAAAGCAAAGAATTAAAGAAAAAGGTATTGAATGTGGGGAATCGATATAATGAGTAGTAAAAATAAGAAAATCTGAATAAAAATATAATAAAAATATGGGTTTTTTTTATTTGAATATGTGTAGAACAAAAAGTCAAAGTAACAAAAACATTAACCATGAGGTGAAATTTATAATTTGAAAATGTTTTATTTTATTTTATTTTCATTAAAAAAATCACTGTATAACTCTATCTATTAAATTGTTGGAGTATAAATGCAATGATTTCCAACATGATGCCAAATTAAGGTATTCCATTGTTATGATATTTACATCATGAAAAAAGTGACACTAGTTACATTCTGATATGAAGTTTAAAATTCATGATAAAAAGAAAAAAATATATTTTTATTTTTTTATTTCTGTTATTGAAATTTATTCCTATTAATCTTTTCAGAAATTGTGGATGAAGTTATAAATGGGAAAATGAACAATAAGATAAACTATAGTAGTTTAAGAGTAAGTTATCATAAAAAATCATGATTAAATTGTAATGGAAGATGAGTAATCAATTCAAGTTTACTTCACGATATTTTCAAAAACGAAAAAATAAAAACTAAAATGATATTGTAAAAAAATGATTACAAACAAAATATTTTACCTAAATAAAAAAATATATAATTAAGTATAAAGAAAACATACAATTATAAGATAATAGCAGTTGCTTACTCTATTATTTTAAGTTTACATTAATTTTAAATTTATTGTACATAATTTAATCTATATTTTCTTAAACAGTGAATAGTATTCCTTGAAATTCTATGAAGAAACTTTTTTGGCATATATGAAGTAATTACATGTATAATACAACCACAAAATTTCTAATTCTTAAAAAATAAACTTAAATAGTGTTCAAACATGTTTTTTTTTTTTTTTTTTTTTTTTTTTTTTTTTTTAATATTCATGTATTTAGTGATGATACATATGCATGTATGTATATATATATATATATATATATATAAATACACACTATACTTACATATATAGAATTTTTATTATCTACATTATTCATAACTTACTATTGCTTTATGTTTATATACAAACATATTTATGTGTAAATAAACCAAAAACAACTTACAACACCAATAATGTTTTTATCACAAATCTTACAATTGATTTGAACTGTTTGGTGCTAGATAGTGATACATTTTATACTTTAAATTTTTTAAATAGAAAAAGAAAAACAACCAATTGAGAAATCTAAAGTAAAGGTATCTAGAACAATAAAAAAATTAGAATAAAATATCATTTATTTCTAAGTATCATCATGAAATCTTTAAAAAAATCCACAAATCCAAATACCATTAAATTTTAATAAGACTTCTTCAATTTGTTTTGTTTTGTTTTGTTTTTTTTTTTGGGTGATTTAAAACATATATTATGGTTGATGATACATATGCATGTATGTATATAATAGAAGTGGTTTTATAATTTTAGTATGCATAATTTTATTGTTATTTTTTATATAAATAATCATCTTTTTAGGTATAGAATTTGAATACTTATACAACCACTATCTATTCAAGTTTATACAATTCTATCCAATATAATCAATTTTATAAAATATTATTTGTACTACCTCTATAAAAAAATATAAAAATAATGTAATACTTAAAATTTATATTAAATATTTTTGGAAGAAAATTTAATGGTATTGTAAATATCTATTTTTTTAAACTCAATTTAATTAACTGAAAATACATAAGAAATAAGTATGCACATTTTTTAAAATTTTAAATAAAATTTAGCCATTAATTCTAAATTTATACATATATATATAATTATTTTTAAATATAATTTAATTCTAATATTTTTTGTAAATTAAACAACTAAGTTTTAATATTAATTTTTTAAAAAATTTTAATTTTAAAATTTTATTTAGTCATGTATAAAATCTATAAATGTATAGATCAAATATATTGTATATATATATCAAGTTATTTAAAATATATTTTAGTATAAAAAATTTCCTTTAAATTTCATATTTTAGAAACATCTTTTAATGCCATAATAATGTTGGTTGCAAAGGCAATAAATTCAATATATATACTAATAGAAACTTGTCTTTTTAACCACAAAAAAATTGTAAAAGTTTGATTTGTGGTTGCTAAGTTAAAAATTGACCACTCCTAAAGAAATATTGACTAAGAAAAAAGTATATATATATATATATATATATATGCATAACAATGGAACCATTTACATTAGTTATATTATACAATAAATAGTAGAACTTATAGCTTGTTTTTCCTTTGTGCTCTATCTCTTAATTAGATGGTTATATGATCTTTTGAAGTGTAATTTGAATTTCTTCCATAGTTGCTTTATGCTCAATACATTTGGCACCAAGATTATTACATCTTTGTTTGTGTCTTTGATTACATTTGTCTTTGCATATAATTCAAACACCATGGCTTCATCTACATCAAACATTTCATCATTTAAGATTTTTAATTTCACCCATTGTTCTACTATTGCCACAAAATACCTTCTTAAAATCCTTGTAAATAGCCTATAACAATGTCTTTATAAATACCTTGCACCATCTATGCTACCAATAATCTATATTCCTGCAACTTCTACTCTCTTATGCTACACTCTTGTAACATCACTGTGAGATCTTAAGCTCTCTTGTAGCACAAACCAAGAATTATGCTTTAAATATATCCAAGCTTCATATACTTTTTAAAATGGTACATAAGAACTATACTTCAAAATATAGGCAATATCAATCAGCATAGCATTGAAGCATCTTTCAAGATATTGTACTTTTGATAGAATATTGCTATTTCAAAGCTTTTAAATTTACACAAAACTAAAGAATTCGGATATTTATCCTAATTGTCCAACTAAACCAACATTTGGAAATTCCAAGCTTGCTTCACTAGGAAAGGCATTAACATAAAGGTAGTTATTTTTATTATTACAAAGATGAGAGAGAGAGAGAGCAAGAGTGAGAAAGATAGAAAGAAAGAGAAAGAAAGAGAGAGAAAGAGAGAGAAAACAACAACTTCATAAATAGAATATAAATTTTAGACACTAAAAAATTTTTAGAACAAATAAGACAATGATATGCAATGTAAGTCAAATATTAATGTCCTAATGATATACATCACAAAGTTATGTAGTAATTGTATAGTTACAACTTTACAACCTTGATTCTTTATGTAAAAATGAGGTTAATATTAGCAAAAATAATGTACAAAAATAAAACCATTGTTTTTACAACTATATAGAAAATTCATATTTAAAGTAAATACAACATCTTATACTAGGGCCTTAATTATTGTGGCTGGTAAAGAAGCCAATATTGGATCTCAACAATTTGGTTCTTGGAGAGTTTTAGGGCTCCAACTACTTTGTGTTTTCCAAGTTTTCAAAGTTCCCTTTCAACAACCAATCAAAATGCATTTTTGTCTCTTTATCTTATATATCTATATATACATATGTCTATTAATCTTCATAAAATTTTGAAATAATTCAATTTTTTGAGTCTTTTTAAAATCTAATAAAAATATTAATATCTAATATTTTTTCATAATAAAGATATTTAGTTTTTATTCTATTTTATCTTTATAAAATTATAGTTATATTTGTATAAATTTAAGATTTTAAACCAAAATATTTAGTATAATTTTAGATTAGATATTTCATACATTAAAATCTCAAATTTATACTAGTTTATTTTAAATTCTAACATCTTAAAAGTATATTAGCAACAAAAGCTATAATATTACTATTTTATTATAGTATCACATTTAAATGAAGAATTTATTTTTAAAATTTATAAATATTATATTAATAAATTAATCTTTTAATTTAATAAAAAATTTAAATAAAATTTATCTGAGATATTTATATTAATAAATGTAATTTTTTATAACATCTTGATTAAAGTTTATAATTTTACAAAGAATTTTATTGTTCCCTTTAATAATGAATTTTGGATGTAATAGAATTATAAGGTATTAATTATTCATGAGTATATATATATATATATATATATATACATACATATATACACACACACACACATGTTGAAGTAACTGAATTTTTTATTTAAAAAGTATTCTTATAATAAAGTATTGATTAATATAAATATAGGAATGACAAAACATATAATAACCAACTAAAGAATTAAAAAAAATTCATCAAAAGCTTATTTTCATTTCATTCAAAAAATATAAAATAAATATCACACAACGACAAATGTAATGATAACCATTGCCCAAATAGTGACATAAATTAAAAATTCTGAAGGAAAAGTGCGGGGGATGGGGGACGAAACGAGAGCGCAACGAACGTGGACGAACGTACATGCGGGAGGAGGAGACGAAAACGGAACGAACAAAGATGGATGAACAAAGGAAGGAGCAACGTGGATATGGATGGATGACAGTGATGTGGATGAACTTAAGTGGATGAGCTAGGGTTCAGGGGTTTTCGCTCATCCTTTGTTGTTCGTGTTGTTGTTGTTGCTCGATCCTTTTGTGTGTCCATTGCTTGCTTGTTTGTCTTCGTGCTGTGTTTCCTTGTGCTTGCTGTGTGGTGGTCGCCTGAACCCATAGCCATGGCCACCTCCGCCTTTGCTTCCTCTTCCTCGTGCCTCCTGCCTCGCTCCTCTGCCCCTGCATCTTCTTCTTCTTCTTCTTCTTCGTCGTCGTCGTCCTCCTCCCGTCTCACCTTTTCACGTTGTCGCTTGTTGTCTCGCTCCATTGGGGCCTCTGACCTGTCCGCTTCTTTCTTCTCCAATGTCCACCTCGCTGTCACCGCGAGAAGGTAGTTTCCACGATGATGCTATCAATGGTTTCCGCTTTTGGAATTAGATTTATGATAATTTGGGTGAATTAGTTTAGTATAACTTTGGGAGAGAGCGAGGTGGGATCCGAATTGAGTAGAAGTGGGAATTGAATTGTTGGGTTTTAGATATCATTTGTGATTGTGGAGCTTTGTGTTGGTAATGCGAGGTATTGCGGAGGGTAATTGATTGACCTTTGAGGACGTTGCTCCTGTTTGACAGCAGAGAGGGCAGCTCATCATGTCGAGGGAAGGTGACTATGATGGCGCCCATCGGCACCCCGAAAGTCCCTTACCGAACTCCAGGAGAAGGAGGGTGGCAGTGGGTCGATATCTGGAATGTGTTGGTAAGCATACTTATCCAGAGTGATGCCTGATTTTGTGGCGTTTGGGTTTGCAATTGGTGTTGATGATTTATGGTGTGGATGCGTTGCAGTACCGCGAGCGGATCATATTCCTTGGCCAGTATATTGATGAGGAGTTCGGTAACCAGGTAGTGGCCACCATGCTCTACTTGGACAGCGTGGATAACTCCAAACCCATGTACCTGTACATCAACTGCCCTGGTGGTGATGTATGCCCTGAACCTTCGCCTCTCTCTCGTTTTTAGGGCAGTCATCTTCTAATTCATTTGCGAGAATGTGCATTTTTCCGTGGGAGTATCAGAATCTATCAAAGAAACACTTAATCCTGGAGCATGTTCAAAATTTGTTGTGTTAACTTATATCCTTATTTAAATCCACCTAGCTTTTAATTCTCATGGTTGAACATTTAATTCGATATCTTACAGTTCAAGCTTAAGACGAGGTTGTGTTTTTCCAGATCACTCCCTGCATGGCGATCTACGATACAATGGAAAGCATAAAAAGTCCAGTTGGCACTTTAGCTTTGGGTTACGCCTATAACAATGCAGGACTCCTTCTTGCTGCTGGCGCAAAGGTACGCGCCACAGGCTATTTCTGTTTCTTGATACGTCTTTTCAGTTGAAGAATAAGAACTGTATCGAGATAAGATAATGGCATTTGTGTCGTTCTAACCATTCCGGAGGAACCTCTTAGGTAGAAGTGATGATAGTTGTGCATTGTACCTGACTCTGCTGCCTTGTCCTGTCGTGGGTAATATCAGGGAATGCGAACAGCTATGCCACTCACTAGGGTAGCTCTCATGTCTCCCGCGGGTGCAGCTCGTGGACAGGTTTGCATCCTTTCCTTTGTGCAGCATTTTGATGAATTTTTAGATCTTCCTTGTACAAGAGAATTGCCAGCTTCTTTGTCAGTGGGTGCATGCACTCATGATATATGTATGGTTGGGTTTGGTGACTCAAGGCTGATGACATCATCAACGAAGCGAAGGAGCTGAATAGGGTGAGAAACTATGTATACGAACAAGTTTCGAAGAAGACTGGTCAACCTGTGGACAAGGTACGATTAAGATTTTCGCCGTTTGCAGTGACGGCATTGGTTTGCATCGTCGTTACTTTTTTATCAGTACCTGACGTGGAAACATGGAACTCGTTGACTGAAGGAAAGTATCTTCATTTTGCAGGTAATGAAGGACTTGAATCGTATCAAACGTTTCAGTGCTAAAGAAGCTTTGGAGTACGGTATTATTGACAAGGTTGTGAGACCAAAGCGTATCAAGCCAGACGCTCGAAGGCAGGAGTCTGTTGGAGTTGGGCTTGGCTAAGGTCCTACTCGATTTGTTTGTTTTCTGGTATCGGCCGGTCGTAATATTTGCAAGGTGTACTATCACGACGTGAGTGCTTATGAACTAGTTATGCTGTAGAATAGTTGAATAGCACCACATGAATAGGCAAGCTACCTCAGTAGGGATTTCCTGTTCTCCGTATCCTCGAAATGTTTAGGTACGATTCTCATGACTCTGTAAATCTGACCCCATTTCAAAACTCGAGTAAAGCAACAACCGCAGGTGTAATGACTTTTGCGCTTAAGGGAATGCTTAAAGTAAATAGGTGATGTTACTCAGTGTAATTCTTTTGCAGTCGAATGATACGCAGTGTGCTAACAATATGTTCTGAGTAGGTCATTGGTTTTGTAGATTTTGCCCACTAATATTGTGCCCTCATTTGATTTTCTGATGATGAACACTAGACATATATTTTTTTGCACAGGTGATTAATGTTGGTCCATTACTGTTGCCATTTGTTGCATACAGACTTAGCTGCTGACACAATTTTGAGATTGAATATGAATAGGTTATATATTGGCAATGGATTAATTTTGGTCAAGTACCTGGGTAATAAGTTTCGGCAAAGTACTTGGATAGGTGCTTTGATAGTATGCTCTGGTAGTCATAATGGCGCCATTGTTTTACCAGAATTCATTAGTAGATGGTTTGATTGCATTGGCTAGTTATTCTGAACTTAATTTTAGTTTTGTGACAGTTTTTAGTTTTACAGGGAAATGTTAGATAGACCCAGTCTTTTACTAAAGTGACCACCCACCCACCCAAAAAAAAATATTGACCAATATTGACCCACCCATCATCACAATCATGAAAAAATATTGACCTGTATATTCATTATTAGACCTACAACCAATGAAAACCATTGGTCATGATCATCACATTCTTTGTCATGGTTACAATCATAGCCACCTCTATTTTCTCTCACCTTCTTCAAAGATTCCTAATTATTTGTTTGAAAGAGAGTAAGAGATACAATTAAAAACAATCTCCTTATTTTGCTCCTACTTTTTAACTTAGGTCCCCTTAGATTTGCTCATATTCTTTGCTAGTGAAGCAACAGTCTCCTAATCTCTATCATGTGCATACTCGAGCTTTGTTGTAATATGCTTGTTTGAGTTGTGTTGCATTGAGCGAGATCTACCATTCATGATAGTAGTTGCTCATGAGTTGTATGGATACATAGATCCAACTCACATCATGTTTTAGGCTCATGTAAGGACAAAGAGCCCTAGTTCATCTACCACATGTGTTCTTGTCTTCTTTGATTACACAAGTCTTACATTTTACACTGCTTGTTTGGGAAACACTCTTGTATCATTACTATTTTATGTATGTGTCTTAGTTATTAATATTTTCCTATTTTTGTAAAATTGTGGTAATATTTCTTTTGATGATTCTTTAAGAATTGATGGTAATGAACTTAATATTGCTTAGAATATTTTCTTGAGATCTCACATGAGATGCAAATAGTTTATGTTGTTTCAAATGATTCAAAAATAATTTATTTATATAAATTGGTAATTTTTGCCCAATATAATTACAGGTATTGCAAGTTGCTAATCTTAAAGATAGTAGATTTATGTTGATGAAAAATGGTCAAGCTATTTTCAAGTCTCCAGTTCAACAAGACCAATTTATAACCCCTTTTCGATTGGAAAGTGGCAATAATATTCCTAATGTTGTTGAGGTAACTATGCTTGATAATTTACATGAAGTACATTGGTTTATTTCTTCACCAATGCCCTTTTTGTATTAGGTCTTTTTTATGATAAATAGTTTCTTTTGTTTGTATAAAAATTCTTCTTAATTTGTGATAGTGCATATTGAAAAGGTGATTGGACATGATGATTTATGTTTGTCTTTGTTTATTATAGTTGTGATTATGATTAGGATGAAGGTTTGATTTTCCATTGATTTGAACAATTAACTTTTGTAGGTTTTTTCTTTGCAAGTTGTAGTAGAAAATGTACTTGTTATAGGTATAAATGGATTATTTGACAATTTGTATGATAATGAGTTGGTGGAAGTTGGTGGTTTAGATGCTATACTAGGCAAGGTTCAATTTCGTAGAGATGGAAATGACCATTTTTGGAAACTCATTGCATCTTTTATAAGTGGACAAAAATAGGGTGATCTTATTTAATATGTTTTTCAGCTCATATTACTCAAAGTGTATGGTTTTCTACATGATCAAAGTGTATTTGTTTTCACATTAGTGATTTATGAGTACAAATGCTTAATGATACTAAAAAAAGAAGGTAATTTTTTGTAATGATCAATTAACAAATAATAATGTAGTTTAATAGTCTTGTGGATTCATCATATTACTACTCAACTTCTTCTATCTAGGAAGAAATCAAGGTTGTTCCATCAACCAATTTTTAATATAATATATGATTACGACTCTATGTATTAATAATTTTAGATAAAATTTAATATCTTTTGGTAATATGAATTGGAGGCATAACATGAAAACAATTGCTTGAGATAAGATATCATAAGTATTACAAGTTCCAAAAATTCATCATACACTTTCTCTTGTTGTTGAGGAGGTAATAGATCAAATATACAATTGACAAGATTGTAGTTAAGGCATAGATCTTTGGAAGAAGTAAACAGAATTTGTAGTGGTATTACAACTAACAATTCAAAATTGATACTAACATGGGTTAGACATTAATAAATACCATGAATTAGTATTCACTAAATGATACTAATAATGAAAACTAATAATTGTCAAAAGACCACCATTTTTTAGTAAACTTTGAATCTAATACTTACATAAAGGCCTAATATGTTTATCATTGTTCTTATGGAAAAAGAAGTGTTCTCATCAATTATTGCTCTTGCAAATTTATATTATTCTAAAATAAGCTTTAGATCATATAAAGAGACTTGTTTCACAACATTGGTGAAGAAAACAATATTGTGTTAATGACATATGCAAATTTGTTCTGAACTTTCTTCAGCCTTGATTTCTCTTGTTGTTTTCTTAAAAAAATAAGAGAGAGAAATTTTTATTTTTTATAGGTCTTTTATAGACACTTTTAAATATGATTTTAATGCTAAATATTAATCTTGTGATGTAGTAATACTTCAAAGGTGAAAAAAATTATTTATCTAAGCTTTAACAAACCATTTTTTGTAAAGTATCTAAGTATTTTGTAAGTACATAATAGCTACATGAACAATAGAGGGGATGTACTTATTCCAAAGATTAGACCATTTAAGATTGTAAAACTCTTAAAAAGAAGTATTAAACATAGTAATCCAATGTATACAAAGTAAAAACCAACATTTCTATCTTATTTGAAAAATACTTCTTACAATTTAGTAATATATTTTTTTAAATGTACCAAATGTAAAATAAGACAATTAAAGAAAAAAAAATGCTAATTCATGGTATTTATTAATGCCTAACCCATGTTAGTACAAATGCATATGGATCAAATATTTCCATACAATTGAAGAAGTTGGATTAATGCCCAATAAAAGAAATATTTTGTTTTGTTTTGTTTTGTTTTGTATTTTTTTTTGGAAAAAAATAATAGCAATATTAAATTTAATATAGGTATTTTTTTTTAATTTTTTAATTTTTTTATATACAATCCATTACAATGGAAGAAGTATACCTTTTTGCAGGTCAAATATATCCACAATGTGCAAAAAATAGAGAAATTATTTTATTGACTTTATAACATCAATAAGTAAAGTAATAATTAGCAACATGTAAAGTTTCTATAAAGCAAATAATAGAACAAATGTTAATCCAAATGTAAATGGTGGTTTTAATAATGAAGAAAAACTGAACAATCTATGTGCCAATTTGTAATAATAGATGGATTGATTTTTTAAAAGATTGGATCTATTTAATATATCTCTTTTTATATAATGATTGTAAAATTATACAAGATTAAATCTTCTAAGCATGTGCATGTATGAATTTTTTAATTAACTACTAGTATATGACATTGACAAACAATATTGTCTAAAACTTTGAAAAGTAGTTGTCCATGACTTAACTTTAAACATTATTCAAATTTATGGAAGTAAAATTATAAATTTTAAGAAGTATTATATGTAGATTTTAAATAATTCAAGAAATTAACACCATGTTGATGCATAATAAGTTTTTTGCAAAATAATTAATTCTTTACATAATGTTATGAATGCAATTTTTGTTTTGTTTTGTTGATGATTTTATATATGTATAACCAAGTAAAATCTCAGTATAAGTTTACCTACACATCACATGGTAATAGCATCAAAAGTGAAGAATATTTTACATCCTTTGCTAATCCAGATGTAATTGCTAAATAATATCTTCTTTCAATTTGTGCATATGTCAAATTTATTCATTTGTCCAGTCCAGCTGCTCCTTTCCCTTCACAAAGGAAAGGCACAACTCCCTCAGTTCTACGCTTCTAATGACGAGTCTCCTTCAGTCCTACATCCGCTTCTACTGTCATTCTCACACTCAACCTGCAGCTCATGTAATTGCACCCGAATAATGAAACCATGCAAGGCTTTCCTCGGAATCTCCGCACGCTGTGGCTCGACTGTCGCCACCCAACTACCACGTCTCCACTCCTTTCCTATCCCTCATTCCACAACTGCCTGATCTATACAAACAGAACAGCTGCTTCGAACTTTCAACTCGTCAATCAGCGGTAAAGACCCATACTTTGTGGTCTCCTATCTGTGGTGTGCACTTGTGCTTGGTCTACCAGGAAATGCGATCACTGGGCTAACTCAGAAAGTGGAAACCAGCAGGTACTTTTGTGAGAAACTTGAGCTGTGGAGCGAAATCTTCATCGTTTTCGAGGAAAATACTCGCCTCTGATCCAGGACGTGGACTTGGGTATGTGAACCATCGCCTGCCATAACACGCAAGCCAACAGTCGCAGGACGAGTTCAACAGACTCACGTCGGTGTTTATGGGATGCGGTATCGAAGCAAGAGGAAAATAGTACACAAGATCAGCTAAGTTAGTATGGTGATCGAGCCTAAGCTGACGGAAACACGCAGAGACACTAATTCTTGAACCATACGGTGGTGATTGGAACGCAAGTGTTGGTAAGGCTTCCGGGGAGGAGAGATGGACTAGAGCAAGTTCCTGAGATTGTCAGCATAAAAATGAGTGGAATATCGCGCTTGAAACAGCGATTTTGAGATTGCTGTGCGGTGGGTGCTGGGGGTAGTTTCCGGAGTTTTGTCGCGGAATTGAGAGGGTTGACAGCAGGAGACTACAAGGAAGTGTGTGGGAGAGGCGGAAGTCTGACTCAGACAATACGGTGAAAGCTGGTGCTCTAGCTGCTGGAGAAGGATAGGAGAGGAGAGGAGAGTCTCCTGAGGACTTCCAATGATGGTGGATTAAGCGGGAGCAGTCGGGCTTCAACCTCGTGGAGGTATTTATTCGTTTGGTTGATGTGTAAACATTGAACGTCAAAGGCTCCAGTAGCATTCTCCGGAAGCAGTTTTTGTGGAAGCTACTGGTGTCACGGTATTATCATGACTAAGTTCCTATCTGGGCGTTCTAAAAGATATACCCTATTCTAGTTGGGTTTCAGATGCTTCGATTGAATACATGTTCGCCGCCCTTCATCCTGAGCTCCTCATCGTCAATCTTCAGGTCTGCATGCATAGACATTTTTCAGAGTTTAGGGGTTGTGTTTTGGGGAAATAGTTTGAGGTTGCCGAGGGGACATTGAAGGAAGCAGTTGGGATCTTGATTGTGAGTTAAGTTTTAGAACGATGGCGAACTCTTAGCAACAAGGGAAGGAGATGACTGCAAAGGTAACAAATGAGCAGTTGCAAGTGGTGGAAGACGTAATCAACAATGTTCGAACTGACTTCCAAAGTGAGGGAGTAGATGACAAAGTTCTGAATGAGCTACAAAGAGTATGTTTGTTCTATCTCTTCTTTTTCGGTACACTTGCATTGCTACACAAATACTAGTACTCCACCCAGTATTACCAGTAATATTCGTTGTGGCGCAGGTGTGGTTAATAAATACTTCTTCCTAATCTGCACTTGTGGATGTGGATTTCTGAATAATCCAATTTATATGTTCTAAAATAGTTGTTGAACCGTTCCCCTTTCTGCTCATGACTTGCTCAAGAATTTACCGTAAAGGATTTTCTTGTTTGGTATGTGGAAGCTGTGTAACTCAGTGGCGTAATTTAGTTTTGATTCAGTGACTAAGACTTTGAAATTCTTGCCCTTCTGTTACCTTTGAATAAGTTGTGAGCATTACAATCACTCGTTGAGCTCAATCAAACTAAATGTAGGGTTCCTTTTTCTAAGGATCAGCTCTGGGAGCAAAAGATGTTTCAGTCAGGGGCAATTCAACAGGGCTCAGTGCATGAAGCGTCTCCAACTATTGCATTGAAGCAAGTTTCGCCAGTACTGCCTACCCTCGAGCAGTGCTACGTTCAAAGATTCGTTGACGAAATTTGACATATAACTGGTTCTGGTCATCAGCGTTGACATGCATTGTACCCTAGTCTTATTCCCCAGTCTTTTCCGCTCCTTATTTAGACTTAGGAAGTGAGTATTGAACAGCTTTCTAGACTTGCCACTTATACAGACGCCTGCAGTGCTCAGCACTGAGGAGCCAGTTATGTATGTCTCCAGGTCCAAGTGAACCTGTGTATCAAGTACGAGGCACTGGGATTCAACTAGATGCTAAATTAGGGAGTGGGAAGCAAAAATCTCTTATGATACTGTCATCGGTTTGTGTTTTAGCAATACCGAATGTGCTTATTCTTTACTTGATCCTAGTGGAAGTATATTGGGTATGTAGCTCCACTTGAGCTGTTTTTAGTCATGTTAAGTTGCTGATTATGCAAGTTGAACAACCAGGTTTCAAAGCTCTCGGCTACTTAGGGTGGAGTTTTCAGTTTCTCGACTGTCCTCTGCTATTGGCGATGAAAATTTTCTCCTCTTTCTGTTCAGCAACCTCAAGTCTCTTGGAGGAATCAAAAGCACCGTGGTGTTGGTCTGAATATGAACGAAAATGAGTTGTTGCGGTACCAGTTATGGAGTCTAGCTCTTCTATGCATAGAAATGTCAAATAGAATAACGTAAATGCCCAGCACCATTTCATAAGCAATGCTGATTGACGATATTTACAGAAACTTTGAGGTAATTTTGGCTGACATTTGATCATGTTTGGGGTTGATTCAGGTGAAGACTTAAGTCGTTGAGGATTCAGGTGAAGGCTTTAGTCTTTGGCTTTGAAAGATGGCCCTTCAAGTTACTAATTATGTGTCTGAAGAAGGTGAACTTCCGATGTCTTCACATTAGCGCTCCTTTAGTATCAGTCCCTTGGGCAAGGGTACCGCTTTTCAAGTGTAGCACTTAGTCCTCATTCTCCTAGACTGAATGCGGCAGCATATGATGAAAGGGAGGACGACGGCAATGGCTGTACTCGTCTTTCCTACACAACTCATAATCAACCCCCTGTGCCGATAGCGAGGCCTTAAAATGATGTTACCATTTGTTTTTCACCGTTTTCTCATGTTCTTTGTTATATTTTTGTGCCTACTACGTTTCAGTTATGTCAAAATATTTGAGTTTCTGGTGAGGTCCCATGGTCGTCAGTGAGAATACTAGTTATTGAGTAATTCAGCACATGTTGAACTTCGAAGTTGCAGTTTATACTGATAGACTCATTGGTTTCATGCCTGGCTCCAGGATTTCCTTACCATGTCCACAGGTAAGAGGAAATTTGACGAAGTATCTTCTGGTTACCACTTGCCACAACGAGACAGGTCGATAGAACAGATAGTGGGTACTGGCCAGATAGAAATTAGACCGCACGAAGTGTCAGTGTTGGGAGTATAATCTCGCAGCAAAGAATACAACAGACACTAGATACTGATTCTGAGTGGTGTCATGTGAATGCTAGAACTTCTCATGGGTTGTTGGATACTACACAAGTGGATGGTATTGAGGATAACCATGAGAATGTGAGTGTCAGACTCTCCTTGGTTTTCCACTTCAACAAAAGCTATACGTACGTGAATATCTTTTGAAACTTAGTTTAGGGTTGAGGGTTATCACGTAGCATCTCTGACTATCTGGCCAGTACCCACTATCAGTTAATATTTCCTTTTTGCAAAATCTCATCCTCAAAGGAAATATTCTAGTGTCAAATTATAATCTTTCCTACACTCAACTCATCACTCTGCTAATTCAACAACTACGATTTATCTATTCTCGTTCATGTACACTCGTAGAGCAATGTAATGTACGAACTGTAGAGAAAAGCTTACTGTTAAAAATATACTTCTTTGGGGTTCATGTTCATTCCTTTCTAACCCTTATTCTAAAAACCCTTAACCTTAGAAAAGAAGAGGTCACCAGTTTTGAATTTGAGGGCTTGATTCTCATTCCTCTAGGTTTCCCTCCTTCATGTCAATTTTGAGGTGTATGATTTCAAACTATGAAACTTATGACTCCAGAATGGTAACCTTGACTCATTTTTGAACACTTCACATTTGCTAGAAACGGTGTGTTTTTTATATGTTTTTTCTTTGATACTTTTTTTTCTCCACAAATGTATAAAACTAAACAAAGATTTTGTTTGAATCCAGCATTTTATGGGCAATATGTCTCCCTTCAATGCACCCAATTTTGTCTATGACCTATTGATTAAGAAGTTTGAATGATTTATGATTTTAGGTTTTAACATGATATTATTAAGGCATTAGAAATGTAAAACCTAATAGAGATTTGCGGTTCTGTGAATTGACTCTTGCAATTTTTTTAATAGGTTTGATAAACAAGCATTAGAATGCCATTGTTTTCAAGCTTTAAAAGATGACTCTTATAAGAGAAATAAAATAACAAAAGAGCGAAGATACACCCAAAAGTACATAAAGGAACAGTAGATGTATACGAAGATTTTACTGATTCTTTGGAAACAATACACTTTGTGCATATTACACCATTGTTCTGGCATATCTTTCAATATAATTATAATTTTTTTTTAACATAAAAATATGTTTTAGAAGTCATTAATGGAAATTTTTGAAAAAAATCAATTCAAAATTCCAAAGATTAAGTTTCCTATGAAGCCTGCTATCAGTTTAGGAAAATCACCAATGGCCACTGCAGCAATGGCAGGTGCAGCAGGTGCAGCTGTTGTGATGTATTATACAGGTAGTTATTAAGTTAGCTTACATCACCAAAACCATCTCCATTTACACAATAATATAAAAGAATTTAATCTTCTACCAACTATAAATATTTGACATTCAAAATAGTATTTGGGCGAATACTGTAAACAAAAACTTGCTCACAGCACAAATGTTTCAATTAAAGCAAAATTCATAACAATAATATCACTGATATTTACAACTGTGTTGTTATTTAATGATATACATATTAAAAAAATGGAATTCCTATTTTTTTTTGTGTTATATATATATATATATATATATATATATAGAATGTATACATATTGTGAATGTATTTGAGAATCTTTTAAATTCTAATTGTATGATTGGTATCCTTTAAATATTTGACAATGAGGTCAAGAAAACAATGAATAGGTTGGGACATACCTTGGGGAGTTTTCAAAGCACAAAGCTATAATGCATTGGGTGAAGAAGACACATCCGATGAAGGGGAAGGTGATCTCTTTGTTGGAGGGATTGCACGCAAAATTGGCAAACGGCGTGTTGTGGTTCCTATTATTGCACGAGCTCCATCAACATGGTTCGAGTCTTTATCCACAATATCGGAGACATTGCGGTTCACATATTCTGAAACACTTGGAAAATGGCCCATCGGGGACCTTGCATTTGGAATCAATTACCTTTTGAAACATCAGGTAAAGTTGATCACCACCCCATTAATAGATAAAAATATTTAAACCCTAAAAAACTTCAAACATAAACATTACTTTAATGTAGTAAAAATTTCATAAAATATTCAATGTGACATGCATGATATCTATGCATTACATTTCTGGTATTACTGATTAATATTATTTTTTCTACAACAAACAACACAATAAGGTTTAAAAATGTTTATAGAATATTTATAGCAATAAAAAATGACAAAAGCAGTTGGTTTGGTTTTTGCAAATAGAGTCATGAGCATGTTGCAAAAGCCTTTGCAATTGATGGATCCAAACAAATAGATGGACTCAACATGTTAAGTGAGTTACGGGAATATTTGAGGGTGTTGATTATGTGTATGCATTTCTCCAAGAAGCCATTTCCCTTATTTTTGGAAGCTATTGGTTTCAATGTGGACCAAGTTTTGCTTGAGGAAGGAAAAGCTGGAGTAAGGAACTTGCTATTGTATGTCAAATTTCTGATTCTTGAACTTTATTTTTTTACTTAAATATGTTTTTCATTTCAACAAAATTATAATATTTGTTTGGATCCATCAAGAAAAATGATAATTTATGTATGCCTTATATAGAAAAATAAAAAAATCAACACATATGTATGTATGTATATATATATATATATATATATATAGATTGTAAAACCTTTTCTTAAGACATAAATGTCTATGATCACATTTCTTAAACAAGCTTTTATTGTGTTTTGCAATTAGATTTTGAAGCCAGCATTTACGGTCCTCCTTGACCATAAAAACAGCTGCATTCTACTTCTAATAAGAGGGACTCACAGTGTGAAAGACACATTAACATCATTGACAGGTTTGAAAATGCAAATTTGACACAAAACCTATTCAATGACTACTTTGTGAGTTAGGTATATATATTTGTTTATGCATTTTCAAAATGAAATTTTAGATCAAACCCTAATATATGAAATACATATTTTTTTAGTAAAAGCTTATGGGTTTATTATGGTAGGTGCCGTGGTTCCATTTCACCACACAATACTTAAAAAAGATGGAGTGAGCAAATTGATATTAGGCTACGCACATTGTGGGATGGTGGCTGCTGCACGTTGGATTGCCACATCAGCATCCCAAAAAATATCCAAAGCCTTCAAAGATCATCCTTCTTACCAACTCAAGGTGTGTCTTTTTTCTCATTGTCACTCAATAACTTCCTTTAAAAAATTTGAATATTAAATGCCAACCCTACTAAGCTAGTTTTCTTTCATAACAATATGAAAATCATATGTCTATGGTGTAACATTTACTTAATTAAAATTAAATCTTATCACACATATGATTTTTTTTTTTTTTTTAAATATATATTCATGATTTAATCTTTTAAAAAAATCAGATTGTAGGCCATTCTCTAGGAGGTGGAACTGCAGCATTATTATCATACATTTTAAGAGAACAAAATATTTGTTCATCAATCTGTTGCATCTGTTTTGGACCTGGTATGAATCAAATCTACATAGTTTTTATCCTCAAATATATATATATATATATATATATATATATATTTACATACACACACACACACACTAATACGTGAGATATTATAAACATTACCAACTTGAATCAATGAGTCATGGATTCTATTTTCTTAGTTATAAAATAAGAGTAAAATATTTAGAGTATACACATGTTGTATGTGATGATTCTGGCAAACATCCAGTATTGATGAAGATTTGAATATTGTGAGCATTTCAAACTTCCATGTGAAAAATCAATAAGAATTTACTGTGAGTGTTTAAAGAATTATGATATGTGAGGAATTCAAAGGATACTGAAAGTATGTTTTGCTGTGTGATATTGGAAATGAATGCAGCTGCATGCATGACAAAAGAATTGGCCGAGTCTGGAAGTGAATTTGTGATAACCATCATCAACGAATGTGATCTTGTGCCATGCTTTTCAAGTGGATCACTTGATGATCTTAGGGCTGAGGTGGACAAAATAAAAAACCCCCCAAATCAATGCATACATTTAATAACTCCATCAATGTAATAGCAATACTCTAAACCCTTGATTAGTTTATGCAATCACAATTCATGAATAGCATCTTTATCAAGCACTAAAAGGATGATTTATTTATTTAATAATTTATTTATTTTTGAAGAATAGGTCACTGCATCACCATGGGCACATGACTTCCGTGAACAAATCAAACAAACACGGATCCTGAGGACAATGTTTCGGTCAGCATCGGCATTACGGTGCCGGCTCCAAACCTTTGCGGGCATTTCACAAGCTTCTACTTCAGGATCATCATCTGTGATGGTTTCAAGGGCATGTCAAACTGGAGCTCCTGGATTTGGTGCAATATGGAGACCTGTTTCTAATGGTACTTGGGTAAATCAAACCATTCCAATTTGAGAGTTGGTATTATTTCAGTTGTTTGTTTAATAAAAAACATATGCACAATTTATTTATTTTTGGACTCCTTCAATGATTATTATTTTTCATTAATTATTTTTTTAACAATAAAAAAAATTCATATCAAATCAAATCCTCATTCATATATGTGTAATGTTTATTGTAGTGCATGATGAAACAAGCTATAGCGGCTGTTAGAACACCATCATTGATGAATTGGGTTTTCACAAAACGTAAGCATTGCAACATGGATGTTGTGGCTTCATCGACTCAAGTCTCCGATATTCCTACAAACACATGCAATTCCTCTAACAATGTTGGTGTATTAGAACCTCATGATAAGAACACTCTCTTCTCAAAACCAACATTATTAGATGACACAATGAAGCTATTGCCATCTGCTTCTTCTTCAAACCAACATGAGAGTGTTGACAAAACATCAAATGAATGTACAAGTAGAGCGCTCATCTATCTTTTCAATTATTTACATTTCTGCCAAATTGGCTTTATAATTTAATGTGAAAATTGATAATTTCATAATTTATAATATTCATCCGTTTATTTTTATAATGGTTTTTATATATTAAAAAAAACACCCTTTGAAGATGTTTTCATGAACGTTTCAAAACAAGGTTTGAATGAATCAAATGACTTGATGGAGGAGACTGCAACAAACCTCCCTCAACTATCAAATGCAACTGGAGACATAAATGACACAATTGCACAATTAGAGGTTCAAGATGAATTAGACCAAGTTGAAGAACCAACGAGTCCAAACTCACGAATTGAGGGAATTGGTGAAGATTTGTTGTGGCATCAAGTAGCTCAAGAGCTTGAACGTCAACAATACATTGCCAAAGTGGAAACTCAATGTGTCCATGAAGAAGAAGCTGAAATTGCTAAGGAGATCATCAAAGAAGAAGAAAATGTGATCTCCAATGTAACCAATGAAATTGAAAAAGTACCTTCCGAGCGTGCCCTCCACCTCTGTAATTTTAGTTTATCAAATCTTCTACCTCAAAACTTGACATAAAAATAAAAATAAAATTGAATCAATTAAAACTGTGTTTCTAAATGAACATGACATGATTTGAAGTGTGTGTATTTTGAAAATTTGGGTTTTAGGAGGAAACCAAACCAGCTGTTCAAATTGATAATATGAGGCACTTCTATCCACCTGGTCAAATCATACATATGGTTGTTCAAGGGCCAATCAAATTGGATAATCAAGAGGGGAATTGCTCAAATTTGCAACAAAAAGAGATAGGTCTTTATTTGACCCAACGGAGCGTATACAAAAAAATCCGTTTATCACGGACAATGGTTCATGATCACTATATGCCAACATACAAGTATGTAATAGAATCAATCATTGAACATTGTGCCAAAAAATCAATAGAATAATCAACACCGATCTCCACTTTGAGCATCTTCTTTTCAAAGTTTACAATAAATACATAATTAGAGTGAAATGCATCACAGTTGTTTGTTTTGTTTAATCTTTAAATCATGTGTATTCAAAAGGTTAGATATGAATAACATCCAACTTCTATTTTTGAAAGATTAATCTAATTCTACTGATAGTGATCTAATGTGTTAAGAAAAAAATATGAAGTACATATCATGCAATGAAAATTGATGTTTTTTGCAGCACATAGATAATGATTGTTGAAATTTGTAAATCTAGTATTCTACTGCCATCTTCTCTCATATGTACAATCAAATAAGCACAAAATATTGAAAAATATTAATTAGATCAATATGTTATAATTTTTTTCATTTTGTGTATTATTTACATTTTTTATTTTATATAGTTGTATAGATATAAATAAGCATTAACATAAATACAAACATCTAACTTTTAATTTAACAATTTTATTAAATCTATATTTTTACCTATATATATATATATATATATATATATTCTCATTCTTAAAGTCTAGTTTTGCACCTTTTATGTAGATAGTTAAATAGATAGAAATATTATAATAAATTGTAGATTTTATTACAACTAATATTTAATTATTCATGTTCTTATATATAGCATATGTATGTATATTTATAAATATATGATATAATTTATCTAGAATATAATTAAGAAAAAAATTTAATTTTATTTTTGTTTAATTAAATAATTTAAAAATAATTTCATGTAAAGAAATATTATGTATTTCATCTTATTTTTTCCACTTAGTTCCAACACTACTCCTCTTTTGGATCCTTCTATAGTGTTAAGAGGGGTCCAAATTCTCAAGTTTATAATATTAATATTTGGCTACATTTCTCTTCTCAATACATTTGGTCTTATTTATGGATTTTTAAATTTTTTAAATTTTTTATTCTTCAATTTACCACCACTATAGTCAATTGTGTACCATTTCTTAAAGAAAAGGTTCCTTGTGACCAATTTGTTTGGCCCAATTGCTAATTGATGTTACTATAAATTGGTGATTTGTTGAAAAGGGTTTTGACAAGGATGTATTTTGATTCTTAGGGATGTAGTTTATCATATGCTTCAAAATTTACAAAAGTATTAATGAATTTGATATGTATCTATTTTTTAATATATATATTCTTATTTTATTTCACACTCCAAAGTTTTGATATAATTCTAAATGATTTAATATTAATAAATGGATTTTTTTATATCTATTTTATTTTATTTTATTTTATTTTTTTGAATAGTGAAGTTGATATGATATATATACATATACACACACACACACACACACACACAGACATATATATATATATATATATATATATTGTGATATTTTTTGTAATAAATTTATAAAAAAAAAGAGGTCAATTTTTATAGATTCATCCTAAATCCATTCATTTGTAGAATATTATACATAAAAAATGTACAATGAGCCTATTTTATGTATTTATTATGTTTTGAACTATTTAGATCTTCTACACAAGTGTAGATTATAAATTAGATAGAACCAATTGATACAATATTACTTATAACTAAAATATTAGAAAGTCTAGAGTTTCATATATATATATATATTTATAATTTGGCATCTTTTTAAGGTATTAATAAATTTATATTAAGTTTATATATTTTACATATTTTAAATTAATTGTTATAGAGAGATAAGTTATTTTTAAAGTACAATCATGGAAGTAAAGTCTTGGAGTACCATCCCCTATAAACATGGATTTAGTTGGTTGTCATGTAAAATGGCTCCATTCAACGCATGCACAACACACAATCACATGTAATTTTTTTATTTATCTCTTGGATGATATAATCCACTAGTATTTTATTCGTCCATAATATTTAGGATTATATGCATACTACACATCTTTGTTACTATGTGTTGCAAAAACCTCCATATTCAACTTAAGTTAAATATTTTTGTATACAAATATTATATTTAAATTAAATTATTAAAAATTATTAAAAATAGAAAAATATATAAAGAAATATAAAATAAAATTTATATTGAAATATCATTATTTTAATGATACATATTAATTAAAATAATATTATTAAAAGAAACTATAATTTAGATAAATTAATAATTAAAATAAATAAGATTGATAATATAAAAACCTTCATGGTATCTTTTATGGAATTACTTTTTACAAACTTATGTAATTTTTTCTACACATATATAATTGTATTAAAAAAGATAACATAATTAAAATAATGAGGCGTATTTAAGTTAGTTTTTAGTCATATTTTGATAATAATTTCATATGTTTTATTTTATTATAAATTATAAATTTAAAATATCATATTTATTAATATAATAATATATATAATAATATCATTATACTAGTAAATACTTAAACCCAGTGTAGAATAAGACAAGCCATTAAAAAAAGAGGAGGAGCATCTACAAAGCTATCAATGCCATAAGTCCTAGTGAGACATTATTGCATTTCTACCTAATGCAACAAAGTTGTCACCATATACAATAATTTGAAATATGGTGTTATATGGCATGATTTTCTACCTAGGAATATACCAAGTATCTAGCTATAGAAAGTTTAACTTTAACTTATTGGACGAGTTCCAATAAGTGATGTTTTCATATTATAGAGGCCAAAAAAATAGAATCTAAATATATTCCATTGATAAAATTCTTTTATATTTAAGAAGCTTTATACCTAAGGCTTTCTAAAGCATCTAAAAATGTCCTAACATCTTTTGTTATACCAAATCACAACTAATTTTCTATAAATAAGTTTGATTTTCCATAAGCTCAAAAAAAATCCATAATCCTCTTACAAATATCCATATTTATATCATAATTTTTTCATAGCTCCATATTTCCATCTTTAGTATATATATATATATATATATATATATATATATATATATATATATATATATATATATAATTTACTTCCAAAAATTCCTTTACTTTGCATAAAATGTCCAAATTGTGGCTAAACCCCCTCAAAACATTTTTCTTCTACAAGAGATTTTTTTTCCTCAAACTTTAGAAATTCATATCTCTTGATTCAATCATTCAATTTTTCTCAAATTTCTAAATAATTTAGAATTTATCCTTAAGCTTTATCATGAAAAAATAAACTATAAATCTACTATAGATTGTCTAACATTTTAGAAATCCTAGCATGTGCTTTAAATCCTAAATTATAAGTTCCCAAACACTATTTTCTCCATGTCTCAAAAACCCAAATTTTAAATACTACAAAATTTATATATAAAACTTATTAATATGATAATATATATTTTTAGAAATTTTTAGCCAAAACCTTATCAAATTGCTTAAGATATGGCTCAAAAGACAACCACTAGTAAATCGGGTCACTTATTGCCCTTAGGTTGTAAGTATTGACTTCAACTTGCTATAACTCCTTTGTTTCAGTTTAGAATTCATCAAGCAATATATAAAAAGTATAGCCGAAAAAGACTTCTTTCTAATTCTAGTTGTTGATTCTTCATTGCTTTTTGTATGTGTGCGTTATATCCAAAAGAGAGACAATAGGTACAAAACCAATATCTTGACTTTGAGTGCCTATATTTCTTTTTTAAAGATTCTTAATCATACAAATTTTTTATCAAAATCATAGCCGAAAATCTATTTTTTTTGATTCTAGCCTACTAAGTTCGAATTATTTCCAAAGAATAATCCTAATCCCTAATAAGGCCTCGTGCAGCTTCCTTGAAGTTCATTGAATATACCTTTTGGCCAAAAACAATGGAGATTTTTATCATCCATCTCCATTCATCCATTTAGATGCCTTAACTATTCTTTTTGCTACCAAAATCCCTCTCCAATCTTTTTTCTTATAAGATTTATATAATATATGTCCTAAACACCAAATTAAAGAAACAAAATATAATTTCAAGACTCATCAATGTCTAATAAAGGTAGCTCTAAATATATAAAAATTTTATCAATATAAAATCAATCTCAATAATAGTATTTTTAAACTAAATACTTCAAAGTAGTAATCTAACCATATTTTGTGACTAACTAAAATCTAATAATTTGGTTCTTACCACATTGTATAATAAATTGTACATTAAATGTTTATGTGTATTATTTTTACTTAGTAGCCAAACCACAATATGACAAGAAAAAAATTAGTTTTTGTTAAGTGTAAGAATACCATCAATTAAGTTTAAATTACACCAATGGTACAATAATAATAAATTAAAGATATGTGAAAGGATGCCTTTTAATTTGATACACTTCACAACAAATTGTAGAAAAAAATATTTTATAGTAACGAGATTTGAATGAGCTCCATGATAAAAGAAAATTTAGTCTTTTTTAAGATAATATTAATCTATGTGATATGTATCTCATTATTAAGTTATAATGATTAATTTCTTTATTATAATTATTAAAACCATATAGAGTGTACAATTACATGGTACTTATGATTACCTTAACTTTATTTCAAACTAGTTCAATTATATTAAAATACTTAATAAGTATATTTAGTATATTATTATGTATCCAATATATAATATTATGTCAATGAAAAGTTATTGTTTTATATCATAGTATTGGAATGACACATAATTTAGTACAAAATTCCATCCTCATCCATGACAATTACTTCAACTCAAAATAATTAGTGAATCAATTCATTGGACAAGAACTAAATCATGTGGAATTTTGTGATGTATTATTTTTTGAGTTTGAGGCAATTATACAAGTATGTAGATAAATCAAACTCATGCTTCAACAACATCATAATTTATAAGTAAATAAAATATAATATAAAAGAATTTATAGCCAAAATATTGATTGTACTCAATGTGAGATTCTTATAATACAACCACATTTAAAAATATTGCATTGTATAAGAAATGTAAGAGAAGCTCATTGAAAATCACAAATCTTTAGAAATTATAATCAAATTCATTTTACAAAAGTAGCTTCATAACTTTTGCTATACTAATAATAAGTCAATAGAGAGATTTTTCTAGTATTTCTTTTATTAGAAAGATTATATTAATTCTTAAGTTGTGATGGTCAAAAATATAATATTAAACATCAAAAAGTGGTTTAGTGCCTTATTTATACATCTTGAGAGCTATACATTATTCTTAACTTAGTATGAGATATTTTATAAAGACTTAATGGCATCAAGTTTATACAAATCTTAATGTAATTAGTAACTCTTTTATTATTTTAATAGACATCATATGC